TTGGGGTTTCCACTCTGGTAGTATAATATCTTATGCAGAATTTTTCGGTGAAACAGGTCCAAGAAAGCAGGCGTGCGGGGTTAACAAACTTTGTTGATGCTAAAGATTCTGCAGCTGTTTTATTGGAGGGTTGATATGAAATGAGATTGATTCCCATTATAGATTTCTAATCTTTTCAGGCAAAATTCGAGAGAATGAATCTGCTTTTCAGGGTATTTTTTGGGCTCTAAAATAGTGTATTTCTTAATCCAGCCACTTACACACTCAAAAAAGTTGTGAAGTTCACTATCATAAATAAATTCTGATTCCTAGATCATTAATTATGCAGAAGATGATATGAAATTCTAACGAAATATTTCGGGCGTTGGTACCTTTTTTTAATCAATATTTCATTCCTCGATCTCTTTATGTGGTTGAATTGAATTGAACCTTATATATATTTGATGTGACAAAATGATAAAGAGAACCAGATGCAATCTTATCACTTACGAATAAAGCAAAGTTGTGTGCCTATAAATGTGCAGTTTCCAATATTACAGGCTTACTCATAGCTGTGAAGGGAAGAGAGTAGATACAACAATGAGAAGGAGCTCCGGCTATACTCCCAGACAGAATTCGGGATGGGACACCACGTCCCAGGACTACCATGCTCATCTTTCCAGAATGGAAAGATCGGCCACCATCATCCCTGATGCACCTCAATACCCAAATGTCCACAAGGCCTTCAACAACAAGTACACCTTTGAGGAAGATGTTGACTCTCAAAAGAAGGTTCAGGTGGTTGAGCATGAGGAAACCATTGAAGAAACAAGGGATGAGAACTGCGTGGTTTATGAAGAAACTACCGTCAATGTGGAAGCTGATGGCTACTTCCAGCAGAAGCACAAGGGGTTTGAACTGTGCAAATGGAAGACCTTCAAAGTGGGCTAGACATTGGGAGCATCTTAATCATGGTTTAATGACAGTCAGGCCAAGTAACTCAAATATATGATATAGTGTTGCTGATACACTTAAATAAATGGCCTGTCTTTGGCTTGGAGTACCAAAACTTGCGTCTTCCCTTTTTTTTTTTTAATCTTTAACTAAGCTCTTATGTTAAAGGTGGTTGCTTAGATGGCAGATTAATTGCTCTTGTGTATGCCCTGATATATTAGTTGTTATTGAAAATTATGAATCCTAATATACCATAAATATTTACCTTACAGTAATTTCAGCAAAGCCAATAACAGATCTAATCAATTGTTGTTGTAGTATACTTAATATGAATAGCTCACAGTATTAGCACCCCTGCCAGTTGAAAGTAATCAAAGACTTAAATTTGACCCAACTGAAATAATATTCTTGACTTGAGGTGAATTAATGGAGGCCTAGGGGCTAGGTTCCAAATTTTGGGCAATTGATATCCTTTCAAGTTGTGATACTTGAATTGAAACTCCTTTGCTTTCTGCACCAACCCTGGAAATATCTTACCTGAAACCATCTTCAGGTATAGTTCCAGACATCAAGTTACGTGCTGTGTCAGTAATTCTATATATTTATTTATACGTGTGTGTATGTATTGATTACTTTATCCACTTATTTAAGATTACACAGGTGAACATAGAAATCGAGTCAGGTATTGAATAGAAGTTGAATTAAAGCAGGATTTTGGCCAATATATTACCGAATAATTTTCTCTGTATTGAGTATGGACCATGATGGTGATGTTGATGTTTTCAAGTGCATTATGTGGTGGCAAAACATTTCAGTCCAAGTAGGCAGTGGCCAATTAGTAATCATGCAATAATTATGTTATGGTAAAGATGTAAAGTGCCTTAAGATCTTAAGAGTAGCATATCCCAAGAGAGTAGGAACAGCTACAGGGCCCATTTTTATGTAAGTTAGACTTATCTTTTCAAGATCCATTCAACTTGCAAGAGTCCAACTTTTGAAGCTTTCCATTTGTTGATCAGCTGGTTATTCCTACTCATGACCATCGTTGTAAAGAAAATAATAGAGTTATGTCCTTGATATATAGGCCGTTAAAAGTAGTATTACAAACCAAGAAGCTGAAGGATTTATTTAATTAGAGTAAAAGCATTAAAAAGTGAAGTGAATGAAGAAAATTTATGTAAGCAGGACATCAAAACGAGACTTACATGCAAATAAATCACCAAAACGGGTTAGCTTTACAATAAATGTTGATTCAGATGACAGATGATTGGTAAACTTTATACTTTGACAGAATGCTTGCTTCTCTATGAGTCATGTCGATCAGTAACACAACTCTAGTATCACGGATCTAAGAGAGAGTCCTGAATCTCACATCAAACATAATAAGAAGGTCATTGAGGTATAAAAGAGTTTATACCATCTTCGCCTTGTGAGACGCCTTTTATAAGACAAAATCGTGAGGTCACGAGGGTCAGAGCGGACAATACCTCACAAGAGTGTGAACCATGACGGTCAGGCTGATCTGGGACGTCGGAAGGGTGAATGCCCAGGTCCCGGAGTCGCGCAGGTTCGGAGCTTAAGTCTCGACCCGTGACAAATGGTATCAGAGCCAGCCCTAAATCGTTCGATCCACGCCAAGCACCTCAAGGAAGGTAGGCAGGGTGGCCGACCTCCGTGACGAGGGCGTCACGAGGTTGGGTGCGGGAGAATGTCACGGACCTAAGGATGAGTCCTGAATCCCACATCGAACATAATAGGAGGGTCACTGGGGTATATAAGGGTTCACACCACCTCCGCCTTGTGAGACGCCTTTTGTAAGACAAAACCGTGAGGTCAGGGGGCCAGAGCGGACAATACCTCACAAGGGTGTGAATTGTGGCAGGAAGGCTGATCTGGGATGCCGGAAGGGTGAATGCCCGGGTCCCGGAGCCGCGTGGGTTCGAAGCTTAAGTCTCAACCCGTGACAAGTGGTATCAGAGCCAGCCCTAAACCGTTCGATCCACGCCAAGCACCTCGAGTGAGGTAGGCAGGGTGGTCAGCCTCCGTGATGAGGACGTCACGAGGTTGGGTGTGGGAGAATGTCACGGACCTAAGGATGAGTCCTGAATCCCACATCGAACATAATAGGAGGGTCACTGGGGTATATAAGGGTTCACACCACCTCCACCTTATAAGGCGCCTTTTGTAGCACAGAACCATGAGGTCAGGGGGCCAGAGCGGACAATACCTCGCAAGGGTGTGAACCGTGGCAAGAAAGCTGATCTGGGATGTCGAAAGGGTGAATGCTCGGGTCCTGGACCCGCGCGAGTTCGGAGCTTAAGTCTCAACCCGTGACAAGGTAATGTCACGGACCTAAGGGGGAGTCCTGAATCCCACATCGAACATAATAGGAATGTCACTAAGGTATAAAAGGGTTTACACCATCTTCGCCTTGTAAGACGCCTTTTATAGGACAAAATCGTGAGGCCACGGGGGCCAGAGCGGACAATACCTCACAAAGGTGTGAACCATGGCGGTCAGGCTGATCTGGGACGTCGGAAGGGTGAATGCCCGGGTCCCGGAGCCGCGCGGGTTCGGAGCTTAAGTCTCGACCCGTGACAAGTGGTATCAGAGCCAGCCCTAAACCGTTCGATTCACGCCAAGTACTTTAAGAGAGGTAGGCAGGGTAGCTGACCTCCGTGACGAGGGCGTCACGAGGTTGGGTGCGGGAGAATGTCACGGACCTAAGGGGGAGTCATGAATCCCACATCGAACATAATAGAAGGGTCACTGGGGTATATAAGGGTTCACACCACTTCCGCCTTGTGAGGCGCCTTTTGTAGGACAAAATCGTGAGGTCAGGGGGTCAGAACGGACAATACCTCACAAGGGTGTGAACCGGGGCAGGAAGGCTGATCTGGGATGCCGGAAGGGTGAATGCCCGGGTCCCGGAGCCGCACGAGTTTGGAGCTTAAGTCTCAACCCGTGACAAGAAGTGGTATCAGAGCCAGCCCTAAATCGTTCTATCCACGTCGAGCGCCTCGAGGGAGGTAGGCAGGGTGGCCAGCCTCCGTGACGAGGGCTTCACGAGATTGGATGCGGGAGAATGTCACGGACCTAAGGGGGAGTCCTGAATCTCACATCGAACATAATAGAAGGGTCACTGGGGTATAAAAGGGTTCACACCCTTTCCGCCTTGTGAGGCGCCTTTTGTAGGACAAAACCGTGAGGCAGGGGGGCCAGAGCGGACAATACCTCACAAGGGTGTGAATCATGACGGTCAGGCTGATTCGGGATGCTGGAAGGGTGAATGCCCGGGTCCCGGAGCCGCGCGGGTTCGAAGCTTAAGTCTCGACCCGTGACAAGTGGTATCAGAGCCAGTCCTATATCGTTCGATCCACGTCGAGCGCCTCGAGGGAGGTAGGTAAGGTGGCCAGCCTTCGTGACGAGGGCATCACGAGGTTGGGTGCGAGAGAATGTCACGGACTTAAGGGAGAGTCCTGAATCTCACATCGAACATAATAGGAGGGTCACTGAGGTATAAAAGGGTTCACACCATCTCCACCTTGTGAGGCGCCTTTTATAGGACAAAACCGTGAGGCCAGGGGGCCAGAGCGGACAAAACCTCACAAGGATGTGAACCATGGCGAAAGGCTGATCTGGGACGCCGAAAGAATGAATGCCCAGGTCTCGGAGTCGCGCGAGTTCGAAGCTTAAATCTCGACCCATGACACTAATCCCTAGCTTTGGAGAGAACATATGTTTAAAAAAAAAAAAAAACCAAATACACAGATATTAAAATGAAAGTTCAAACTCCAACTATGCCAAAAGAGGACGGATGGATGGATAACCTTCAAAACCTATCGTGGTGCTACTATCTCTATGTTAACAGTTGCAGGAGGAAAAATGCTGTGTTGAGCGGACAAATCCAATTCACATTTCAAACAACCAAAGAGTCAAAAGACTAACATAAATCAGATAAAAAAGCATTCTTATCTTCACGAGGAATATCAGCTTCATTGAATCTCCTTCAAGACAAACGTTTGAACAAATTTCTAACGCTATTCTTACCTTCCTTGCGCCTTTTGTTAGCTATAATTGTAGCTTCTTCTAACCCCGTAAAAAGGGTCATCGAAAACCAGGCCAGTCTCAAGCTTTTTGGCCACGGTGACAAGTTCATATGAATCCCACAGTGATTGGCCAAAGTCCCAGTTTGGAGTAGCAATATAGTCCTTGGCCTTGACAGATGACTTGCTCATTGCTTCAAGCTTGAATCTGGAAGGCTTACCTTTAAAATTTCTGCGGTAGGCATCGAATTCATTGGTTGACCGAGAGCAGCTGGAATGACAGTGCCAGGCTTGTGCCACTGCTTTGATGATTTCAAGGTCCTTGTTGTGATCATCTTCAAGCTCTAGCTTTTTCTTCATGGTTGTTGTTCTCTAGGAAAGTCATGATGCAGGGGCCATAGCCCATAGAGCTGTTTATATTGGGTAAATTAGAACCTCACAGTATTGTCGTTGGCTTGCCTGTGAAGAGACATGAGCCCATTGCTATCCATATCCTTATGTTTCTTATATCCTCGTGCTATGTGTGTATATAGATTAAAATTATTATGATTTTAATAATTTTTAGATTTTTTAAGAGTTACATAAGTTTTGGATGTTTAGATTAAAATTAAATTTATAACATTTGTATTTAATTATTATGATTTAAAGATAAAAAATTATATAACTCTTATATTAATGTAAATAAATTTATATTCATATATGTATATATATATATATACAGTAGTATAATTGATAAAAGGAATTAAATTTTTTATTTTTCGAGGTGGAAATATCAGTGTCAGCAATTCAGGTGCAGCCTGAAGCATGGGAGTGTGGATACAGATTAATATCCTCATTTTTTATGGCTCTATTCTGTTGGTCACTACTGTTTACTGTACTACTTATCTTCATTTTTTTTTCGTATATTTGTGATTGTCTGTCTGTCTGTCTCCTCTTTTTTGGCCCAAGAAAAAACAAATTGAATTTTCTAAAAATAAATGGAATCTAAAGCACATTTTACAAAATGCCACTTTAGTTTATGAAGTTTGGTTTTTAAATTTACTATCTAATATCAAAGAGTTTTTCTACCATAATCTCTTGTTTTTTTTTTTTTTTTTTCTAAGATGAATGGTTTCTGTCCATTGAAAAAAATCCACTAATTCTATATAATATACTATTACAAACTTATATATATATATATATAAACAAGAAACATAGAAAGAAAAAATGGATCTTCCTTTTCCAGAAAAAGAAACGAATCCCTTCCACGTGTTGCCATGTAATAGGGTGAGTTCCATCCTCAATTGAACTCACCTGTTTCCCGCCCATTTCAAACAAAAAGCCACCTTCTTTTCTCCCATCTAGGGTTTCTGCTTTAACTCTCAAAAACCCGATTGCTATGCCATTCACACTATAATCCGTAATCCCTCAAATCTCCCAACCAAATTGTATGGGCTCTCCCATGGAGATTTCCGTTCCAAACGCCGCAGACGTCAACGGCAACGCTTTAGCACCACCCCCGGCATCACCTTCTCCTACTGTCCCCCATGACAAATTTCACGTTTCCGGTAATTCCTTAGTATCACTCTCTTTTTACACTTTTGAAAAAAAATTGGGTTTTTTTTTTTTTTTTGTTTGACATATGTTTGTTATCTGTTCTTTCATTGTCAGTTGAAGTTTGCTTAAAACCTTCAAGCACAGCATGTCCTGACCATGTCCGAAAAGCCGTTGAACAGTAAGTTCAAAGGATTTTGATTTATTAATTTATGTTAAAAAATTCTTTGACTGACTGATGTTGACAAAATATGCTAATTTATACGCTTTTAAATAATCGCGGTTTATTAGATTTGTTTTTTTTTTTTTCCTTAACTGAGAGGTTGAAATCAAACTATTCTGTTTTGTGATTAGAATGCTTGAAAAGAGGAGCGTGAGCTATGTTGATGGTCCTATACCGGTGCCTAGTGATGACCCATTTCTCATGGAAAATGTTCATAGAATCCGTATTTGTGACACGGGTATGTTTCGTTTTTTCTGGAATTTGATGCTATCTTTTTTGTTTGGAGTCTTTGGTTGAAGTGAGACCTGAGGAAAATACGTAATTGTATGTTTTTGACTGCTTTCATTGTGAAAACCGAGGCATTAGCTTGATTGAATATCTTATACTATTAGTTTACGAGTTCTATTTTTTTATTGTTCGGAGAGTGAGGGGTTGTAATGTACTCATCTTGTTTAAATTGTTGCTTCTGTAGATGAATGGGTGAAGAACCATGATATTCTTTTGTTCTGGCAAGTGAAACTTGTTGTTCATGTCTTTCAGGTACCAGGCTACTCTGATTTTATTTAGTAAGATTAACAAGTTTTTATTATTATCCATGTATTTTCCTCCACAGCCTTGCCTTAGTATTGACTCTCTACATTGTGTTTGAAATTTTATTGAAAGAGCTTTTTGAGTTTGTAACCGTAGGATGTTGATGCAATATTTGTTTGGCTTGTGGAAATTGAATAATGTGTGGCCAGTTCTTCAGTTTATAATTACTTTATGCTGTTTGTTTTAAATTTGGATGGATTTGATTGTCGGCTTGCCAGCTTAGTGAGGAAGGACCATGTGAAGAATTAGGTGCAGATGGCCAGTTGTCCAGCTTCAATGAATGGATTCTTCCTGCTAAGGAATTTGATGGCATGTGGGAAAGGTTTTTCTGCAACTTCCGTCTTTTCTTGAAAGTTTGAAATTACTTTATATATTGATGCTGGAGTTTGCTTTTGTAGCTGAATCTATGACTCTGGCCTCAAGCAGAGGTTATTGCGGTATGCAGCCAGTGCATTGCTTTTTACTGAAAAAGGTGTTGATCCTTTCCTTGTGTCATGGAACCGGTATGGAACCTCTTCATGACTTTCAATAAAAAACTAGTATCATTTCATACCAAAAAGAAAAGGAAATATCATTTTTTTTTCTTTGGAGCTAGTCAGGTTTTTATTGAAGTGTTATGGGTCTCCATATCACCTATCTAGTAATAAGTAAATGATTAGTTTGTTTCAGTTTAGTTTGTGCTAAATATGGCGTGCCTGAATGTAAGACAAAAGCTTGAATTGAACTTTCTGGAAGTGGGCTTTTGAATCTATCAACTTGCTGTCTATCTTTCAGTTTGTGCATGTTTACATCATTCTTATTTTTGTTTGATGATTCCACTTCCATGTGGTTCTATAATCTTGAAGATGCAAAGCTCTGTATAGAGCGTAGACACATCTACATGCACAGACATGCTTACTTTTTAAAATTTTCCTCATTCAATTTGACAGTTTCCCTGTTGCATGACCTGGATTTCCCTATGACTGATTTCCCTGAGGGCAAACTCTTGAAATATCTAAGATGAAGCAATGCTTTATGTGGTCTTTTGGTAATTGGTTCCAGATTCTTAGAGATAGATAATATTACGTTCTTTCTTTGGTATTTTCTTTAATTTGCTCTTAGTCATCTAGATAATAGGAAATGTCAGCTGATTACAGGCATTGATAATAAGTTCTGCACCACAAGATATTTGATTGATGATTTTAATTTGTTTTGCAGCATTATTCTATTACGTGGACCCCCAGGGACAGGAAAGACATTTTTATATAAAGCGCTGGCACAAAAACTATCCATTAGATTCAGCTCTAGGTTTTTGTTAAATTCATTTTCTGATGAATTCATCCCTTTAAGGTCCTATATATAGCATGTCAATTAATTTGTTATAGCCTAATTCTCTTTTCCGGTTGCTCTTGTTTAATCAGGTATCCACTGTGCCAATTGATTGAAGTTAATGCACATTCTTTGTTTAGTAAATGGTTCTCTGAAAGTGGCAAGTTGGTATGTCCCTATATCAATTGGTTGAACTTTTGACAGAAATGTTAGTGGTATGTGTTTTATGTTCTTAACTCTGGTATATCTTAAACTATAGGTTGCAAAGCTTTTTCAAAAAATTCAAGAAATGGTAGAGGAAGAAAACAACCTGGTATTTGTTTTAATTGGTGAGCCTTTTATTAAGAAGTTTGGCTTTTGATCATTTCTGGCCATTCTAGCTTAGGATTCTTTAGATATGATGATGATGCAGATGAAGTTGAAAGTCTTGCTGCTACTAGAAAGGCTGCTTTGTCTGCTTCCGAGCCTTCAGATTCCATTGGGGTAGAGTTTTGTGCAGCATAGACTGATTTCTAAATTCTTTCTTAAATGCACATCTTTACGTGATATACTTGGCTCATTTTTATATCTAATACAACTTGAAAATGTACCTTAGGTTGTAAATGCGCTATTAACTCAGATGGATAAGTTGAAATCATCTCCCAATGTTATAATTTTGACTACGTCCAATATAACTGCTGCTATTGGTAAGCCTATGACTCATTTCATATTGGTTCCATATACTGAAATCCATGGAATTTTCTTGAACTCTGCAAGTATGCATGGTAATTGGTTATTATCCCCCTAGTGTGTCGATGTTGGAATCTTCTTCCTGTTTGAAACTTTTTATGAGATAATTCTCTTGTACGATGTCCTGAGGGATATGCGATTATTTTTTTGCATTATTACTTTCTTAGTTAATAATAGTTATAAATGTCACAATTCTGTCAATATCAGACAGGAGAAGAATCCACATTGTTATATAGAGATTTACTGATAGTGTTGCAGACATTGCATTTGTTGATCGAGCTGATTTTAAAGCATACGTGGGGCCTCCACTTTCAGGCTCGTTATGAAATTTTAAGGTCCTGCTTGCAGGAACTTATTCGGACAGGATTCATATCAAGCATCCAGGTAAGAATGCAACATAATGCCTAAGGTCTCAATATATTCATCTCCCTTAATGCCCAAAGTCAAATTTGAATCTCTTTAGGGTTCAAGCCAATCCATCCTTCCAGATTTTGTTACTTTGAAAAAGAAACTGAATATGCATGAGGTTCAGGAGGTTCAAACAACACTTAATCTATGTAAACCATTATTAGAGGTTGCAGAAGCATGTGAGGTTAGAGACAGAACCCTTGAATACGCATTGAATCTAGCAATAGCTTTAGGGAAAAAAATTTTAAGTTTCAATATTAACTTGATTTTCTATGTGGTTTCTTACAGGGATTGAGTGAAAGATCATTAAGAAAACTTCCATTTTTGGCGCATGCAGCTCTGAACAACCCTTTTTGTTGTGACCCTAGTAAGTTTTTGTACACAATGATAGAGACAACTAGGACGGAGCGTTCTGAGCTACCTGACTGAAATAAAGAAGTTTTATGTTGGTGTAAATCGGATGTTTTTCATGCTTGATATGTTATAACATTGCTTAAGTCTTCACTAATGTTATAACAATGTGTATAAATCTTGGCAAGCAACGAGGCTATGGGGTAGAGTCAGACACGAGATTATTAGTAATATCTGGTGAAAACATGGGTTGAGGATTCCTTTCTTGAGTGAAACAAGTTTTATTCGCCCTAGCAAGGACATTTCTATAAAGAAAGTTCCTATTAGAAGTGCAACAGCTCGTGTGTACTTGTCAGTGCTGACACCCGTTTCGAAATGTTAGATTTAACATGTTTGACACATCTGTAACCAAAGCAGAAAACCGTAAATATTTGAGGGGACTAGATACATTTTATTCTAATCCTGGTTAAAGCTGGCTAACGTACATTTTTATACAGAATAAATGTATCTTTGAGCTAAAATAACTGCACTTGCTCTGTATAGAACCACTGAATGTACTGCTCAACCTAATTTAACCAGCCACAATAACAGTTAAGATGAATACTGCAAAACCTTACAACTTGTCAAGCTTAAGTTCCCCAAATAAGATTCAGAGAATTTTACTCATGAGTCGATGCTAAATTAAACTTGCTTAGGTCGGTCTCTAAGTCATCAGAACAGTCGTTGGGTTTTGTAGAGAAGTAAAAGGCTTGGATGGGCGTTTAGTAAATGAGAAGAGTGTGGTTGAAAGGAGAGAAGTGAAGAGAAGCGGGAGAAGGAAGAAGTTGAGCTGACTCCGGAGTGGAGAGGCGAGGATTGCCTTGGACCGATTCATGATGGTTGCTCTTTGGGGTTTGGAGTTGCAGGCAGGCAGCATAAACAAAGGATTCCAAGAGTTTATGGCTTTGGGTTAGAAAACTGCTTTAGTCACTGCGTCTGTGAGGGAAGGTTTCCCAGTTATTTTGGGCTGGACCCAGCCTATCAAATTTGGGCAGAGCCTTGTTCAAGTAAATTGTTGAAGCCCTTTTACATGAAATTAAATACTAGTAGCTACTTTTAATAGGTTTAAGAAGAAGAATTAATTGACGATACAAGTATTAAATACTTTATGTACCACAGGTTAATTCCTCCCATTAGACCATTTTCACTATATTTGTTGTTTACTTAGTCCGTACGTGTTGAAAAGAAATAGAATGAGTCTTTGCTGGCAATTTTACAAGGTAAAGATCTTGTTTCGTGTCTAATGGACGCATCTTGCACTTTGCAACGACACCCAAATATATAAAACCAAAAAATAAGTTTGACTAATCATATCCTGACTGTTCCCGCTGGCCCACTCTCTTGCTTCCACGCGAAGCATGTTCAAAAAGTGATACATCCAACTACCCTTTATCACGGGAGTCGCTATCCCGTACACGTGGTTATTTACAAAAAGAAAATGTTAGAACAAACCAAAATAATAATAATAAAAAAAAAACCTTACAATTACTATTTGCTTATTTTGTAAAAGTCATTAAACTATAATTATATCAAAAGTTTATCTCATTCATATATATATATATATATAATTGCTTGCTTTATAGCGAAGCAGAATAATTTAGGAGAGAGGAAATTGTTATGTTATATCAAGTAGCAACTGAATTCAATAATGCTACTATAATGATATTCATCAAAATCCAAACAGTATGTATGCGTAGCTTATATATATAGACATCACCAACATATTATTATATACGGACTAGAAAGATAAAGAGAACTTAATGCTATAAGATAATATTCACATATATATATCTTAGATCTTCAATAAGACATTTTGGAAGCCTATCAAGATCACTGGCTAATACTATGTAGTATATATATATATATATATATATATATATATATAGAGAGAGAGAGAGAGAGAGAGAGACTTAAGTAGCGACCAAAACATGAAAATAAGCTGCAAAGGTCCCCTTTAGGCCATTGTCATTATATTCATATATATAAAGACCCTTTTAGGGGGGAAGGCTTTGAAAGGAGTCGAGGTCCCCAGCTTTACAAGATCATGCCTTTGCAAATTACAACATATATATAACAAATATTAATCCTCATAGCCCAATCGTCTGTACCTTTCTTCCATCTCTCTTTTTGTCGAGTGGGAATATCAATGCCCACCTACACCCCAATGTTTCTGTTTCACTAAAGACCAACGTGCATATGCATGCGGGAATTTATTAGCCTTTCACTATATGCACTCTGCAGTTCCACCAAATTCATATTTCAGGCCTCACCCCTCTCCTCTCTTAAATAACACTTTCAATACCTTCCCCTTTCCCTATTCATACTTTCTCTGTTGCTAGCTACCACCTTCATTTCTTCATCATAAATTATTTACTATATATATGTGTGTGTGAATTGCGTGCCTATATATACATGGCTTAATTTCTTTGAAGAAATTTATAATCCCGTCCATAGAAAATAGGCATGACTGCTCCTTTCTCTCCCTTCTCTAAACAAGCTCGTTTTATAGCATTTCCTTCTCATCTTTACATATCGATGTTTCTCATCATGTTCAGCTCTCATCAGATTTTAACCATGCACCATCTTTCTTGCGGTCCTCATCAAAAAAGGTTGCAGGTTAAGCATCTCTTTCGTTTTCACGAGATGGATAGCTGTCTTTCACTGAAGGTAGAGCTTCTCTCACGCTGAAAAAGGTTTAACATTGAATGGAGATCATCCATGCAAAAGGGAATCAAGCACTCCTGGTCCGACCCACATTAATTAATTATCTGTTTTATCATTTATGTTTATGCTTTAGTTTAGCCTGGATGGTACTTTTATTCATGTGTTCGTCATCCTGGCTTTCTTAATATATGTTCTATCAAATTTACTTTGTTTTTAATGGGATAGAAGAATCTATATTAAAAAAAAATGCTCTTGTAACGTACGTGAAGTGAATAAGGACCTACCTAGCTAGATCCGATCGAGTGAAGGATCGATCTGATGTTTGAGGCAGATGAATTTAATGTACTTTTATTAATTAATGTAATAAAAGCTCCACTCTATTTACTCAAAGTTTTCCTTGTGTGTTTTGTAATCTTGTATATGGGTGAATTTACAGGGGTGAATTTACACAGAGTGATTGCACCAGTTGTTTTTCTCATGTTCTGTAAATGTTGGAAATTAATCTATAATAAATCATCAAAACATAACCAAAAGAAACAAAAAAAATCTTTTTTCCATCTAAAGTTTCATTCATGAAGAGAGCTTTCTTGTTCCAGATATTGCTCTTTTGCCTCTGTATAACCAATTCTATCTTCATGTTCTCTATGGGATATGCATGTAAAACAGACTAATTAAGAAACCAGAAATGGTTCTATCATTTAATACAGTTGAGAGATGTGAATTTGATGAGGTATGTGTAATCAGGCATGCTTCTTTTGCTTCCAATTCCAAGCATCAAACAAGTGAGACTTGGTGAATTGTCTTATACAAATCAGTCTACTAAAAGGGGAAGAGCTTTGCTTTTTAGGCAATAGTAGTGGAAGTGGCTGCTCCATTTTGGGAGGCCAAGGGAGCTGAACAATTTTTGTATTTTAACCCACTTTATACGTTGAAAGTTGAAACTATAAAACGCAAATAGGTAAAGGCACACTTGCTCCTGCAGGTTAATTACGATCTTTTTCACATAGGACATGCCACTAAGTTTCTCTAAGCATGCAAAAGCTATTTACTTTCCCTCTTGTTGATGCGCGCTGTTATTATGGCTGCTGGGGCTGATTCTCTCTCTCCTTTCTCTCTTACTCAAGTCTCGTCAGGCATTGACCCACGGTTATTTTAATTAGCTTCAAACCTTTACTTTACATATAGAAATCAAATTGAGTAATACTCCAATACAAAGAATATATCTGGCTGAGCCTGACACTCTTCACATTAATGATGAATTCTAACATATATTCTCGCATTGTCTTTTCTCCTTCTGATTCATTATGAAAAGCTTCTCCTTCTCCTTTATATGATCAGTATATATGGTTTTAATTATTAGTGCTGTGCCTAGTGATTCTTGGGCAGAAGCCAGCAATAAAATCTCCTTTTCCTAAAAACATTATGAAGCTTATTTTGTAGATTATAATCGTCCATCCCTTCTTCCGTTTTTAATAAGTTAATGATCAATTGGATCAGTAAATGTTTCATAGAAAGGAGATCATGTCAGTCTTTGAGCTTCTGCAGCATGCATGGTCCGTCCAACAAAAAAATATGACATTTGAGAGTTGGGACCTAGTTAATTAATTGCTAGAAAGAAGGAATATATATCCCCCACAATGAAATGACAAACAGTAGGTAGGGACTCAAACTCAAGCTTTTACCTCTTGGATCAGTACGTACGTAGTTAAATATTCCGGTCATAAAATTAGGTGTGACTTTGTGAATCCAGGGATTGCAGCCCTGTCTGTTGGAGTTTATTAACTTTTCTGTTAGATAATTTCATGATTGCATTTTTATGTTCGATTATCACTCGTGGGATTGAAATGGACAGCATCTACATATAAATATAGACAATGTAAACTCACAGTAGAATATATATATATATATATACATAAATATATCCCCGTCCCCTTCCTCCTTTTTTTTTTTTTTTAATTATTATTTCCTCCGGTACGGTCCATCAGCTTTGCTTGTGCAAAATAATTACCCCTCTGCAACAGATACACTTACAGTGGGAAGTTCCACTTATGGGCAGGCCGGCCATCCATTCGTCAAGGCGGATCTCCGCTTTTGATTTTTGTTTGGAATTGAAACTAAAAACAAAATAAATGTTTCCCAAACTCAAAAGATAAAAGATAAGCTACCATATCCAAGAAATTTTCAAGTTAATTTGCCTAGTTTTTTTTTTTTTTTTATTAACGCAATAATTGAGGATTTGGATTAATTTCTTTGTTCTTCATTAATTAAGAAATTAATTAAATAGTTGATATAAGATGATTGCGTATTCTTCTATGACATAATTAGAATGGGTAAATTGTGCCTGTAGTTCTCAAACTTTGAGACATATATTATTTTAGTAATTTTAAAAATTAATTTATTGATCATTGATTGTCAAATATCATATAAATTGGTCATTACATCATTATATTTATTAATTGTGGGGATTGATTTTGCATCAAGTCAATTGAAATCCGGTTAATTTGATTTTTAAAAAAATTTAAATCAATTTTAAATTAAAATAATTTTAGATTCGAGTAGTTTTAGATTCAAATTATTTTGAGTCTTGATTATTTTAAATTTAAATAAATTAAATTTAATATTTAAATTATTTAAGTTTGAGTTATTTTAAATATATTATTAATTTTTAAAGCCAAATGAGACTAATAACTAACAAGTTAGAAGTCAAAATGAAATTAAGTTTATTAAAACAACATTACAAGTTTACAACTGGTTAGAAATATCAATTACTCGACAAAACAAATTCCCGTAAACAAACTTTTAAAGGTCAATGCGCCCTTTACTTTATTTTTAAAATTTTCCTTTTTAATTAATTGAAAATGCTTTCTAGCTGTTGCAATTTGCAAGGCCTGGAGTTTCGTTTTAATGTGATGTTATCCTAGGAATCAAAGGCTAAGAATAAGATGGTGTATGTGGTAGGCAGTGTGAATCCACCCCAACAAGTTCATGCTAAAGCCAATTGATTTAAATGTTAAATAATGAACGTTCAAATCATTTTATTTGTGGGGACCAAAAATCTTTTTATATTGTACATATTACTTGTTTGTAATTAAGGGGTTGAAAGTCCCATCCATGCACCATAAACTTTTAAGCTTTGGTTGTTTGCCTTTTTTCCATGTGTAATCCCACTGTCCCTACTTCATATTCCATTCTTGATATCAAAGCAACATTGTGTCCAACACTACTCCAACCTCAAACGTGCTGCTGTTGCCTCATCATCCTTATCCCTTTGCTATTGGTTTTGGTCCTCTCCTCCCAACCCCTCTATTCATTGGCATTTGGGAATACTTTTTGCTGAGATGCCTTTTTGGAGTGTTTGCTTCCCCTTCTGTCTTTGTTCACTACTAACTTAATTATTATTTAATCACTCTAATTAGCTAGGCTTTTCTAGTAGTATATATATGAGGTCCAGAGATGTGATGGGAAAGTGACATTCACGGCCACTTCCTTACCCGAGTTGAGTTCCGATGGCTATTCTGCCGTAGGCCCAGCATTGACTGATCTCACAAGACCTGTTGTTTTCTCAAGCCTTGTGGAAATTTGATTGATATCATCCTCATAATTAGTCTTTTACAAACAAGTTCAAAGCAACACTTGTTAAAATATCTGCTGCTAGTTGGAGAATTAAGTTAAAACTTTGCTTTTAAGAACTACAAGTAAAATACTTGACTAATTTCTGTCTTCTGCTTAAATTCTTTCTCTCTTTCTCTCTCTTTACGTTTGAACATTTTATTAGGTTTGTGCTATATACAGTATACACATTAAAAAATGATTATCTTCCTTTGTTTTAAATGATAATCTCTAATTACATACATAAACACCAATATATCTAAACTCTTAAATTTACTTGATGATTATGTGAGTTTCATTGGTTAATACTAATTCTTTAAGGACAAGTATAATGTTAAATCATGCATTACTCAATAGTCAATAATAAGCTTTTTCTTCTTATTGAAAAAGAAAGACAAAAAAAAAGGATGCAATCCATGAGAAGTAATTTAAGAGCCCCATGCTAACTTTTATTGTCAAATCTTGTTATTAATAAAATCAAAGTAGTTCTTACTATAAAAGGCTTTTTTTTTTAAATGGAAAAGTTGTTGATTGATTTATAATGTCCAAAGCATCAGAATGAATAAAAGAAGTTGTCATTTGACAATATTCTCTCTTACTTGCTAGTTGATGCAATGTAAAAAAAAAAAAGTGTGACCAATACTTGTTCTAGTGTCTTAAAAAAAAAAGGCACCTAATTAGTAGTAGCAGTTCAATATGAAACATTAAAAAAAAAAAAGAAGGAATATTACAAAAAGGAAATTAATGAGAGTGACAGCCACTAAGTAACTTTTGGATGTCAGAACAGAACAGCCTTCATGATGTCAGAGACTGGAGAGCGGAGCAGAAGACAAGGAGCACATCCATGACCATAAGTCTGATGATGATGACAAAACAGGACATAAATTTTGCCTAGCAAAGAAATCAAAGAAAACAAACTACCTTTCCTTGCCTTTCTTTCGTCTCTTCTTCTTTCTAGTTCCTGGAATTAACCCACCGGAAAGCTGACTTAAGACAATGGACGTTGACTTCTGGCCATTTAAAGCCCGCTCTGCCAAGGATCTCTCTCTAGTTCATGCTGCTCGTCTCAAATCTGGTACTTAATTTTGATTAATTATACTGCTACTTTCTTCACTTGTTTCATTCTTGTTCTGGGTTTTTTTTTTTTTACATGTTTTTATTCTGGTACCTCCATATAGCTTTTTTTTTTTTGGTTGTTTCTTGCAAGTGAGTTTTTGTGAGAGTACTCAGGAACTGGGTTGTCAAGATTTTGAGTAGAGTTTGTTGGGATTGCTTGTACTTAGATTCGTACTTGATTTTAGGATCTTAGGATTCTCTTGCTGCTGCTGAATTACGAGTTTCATTTATTGCAAGTTTTTTTTCTGATGTAGTTAAAAGCTTTCGTTTTTCAAAGTACTACAAAAGTTTCTCCCTTGATTAGTTGTAGTATAAGAAAAAAGCGTGATTTTAGGCGTTAATGAATGAATTTCATGTTTTATTTAATGGTTTACTACTTATTTAGGCGAGCTTCCGTAATTAGGAATTTTATATGTTTGGGGTCTCCTTAAATGCTTATTCTAGAGAAAGAGAACTGGCCACTGGGAAATTGGAATCTAATTAATATTGCCCCAACGTAACCGCTCTTAGTCCTTAGGCTATTAGGGTTTCTAAGGAGTCCAGATATAACGGAGATTAAGAAGAAAAAAAAATTAGTATCTTGGAGGCTTTAACGAGGATGACTAACTTTATTGAATATGAATGCTCTAAGCATAATCAACTATTGGAGAAGATTCAGAAGAAAGTCTTGGATTTTCAAACGACTTTGGATATGCTTAACGCATTGAGATTGAAGGCAAATTTCCTTTCTTCTTCTTCTTCTAAGTCATCGGGTTTCTCCCAACTAAATAATCAGACGGAGAGTAAGAAGGAATCTGATTGTGGTGTCTCATATGAAACCTATGAAGATGGATGTGAAGATGAAGACCAAGATGATGATGAGGATAGGGAATTCGATTATAAGAGTACTTCGGATGAAGGTAAGAGATATAAAATTTTGGATCCACGAGCTTAGCAAGGAGGGTGTTGGAAAATCTCGAAAATAACTGTTTATGAGGATTCTTGCTTACTAGGCAGGTTATTTCAATCTTCTCTTGCTTAATGATAAAAAGGGACATCTGAGTTCTTTTGTACTTGTATTGTTGCAATGCCCATGTTCTTATCTATAATAAGATGGGTGTATTTAAAATAAATGTGCCTTAGCTTGGGATTTGGTAATATTGGCAGTATCTGGTCTGTCTTGTCACTTGAATAAACTAAGGTCACTTTTAATGCTTGGTGTCTTGATAAACTCTAAATATGTTTAAGACGACAAATTCTTAAAAATGTAATGGATTCCTTTTTGTTTCTTCCGTTCTCTGCCTTTCTTACCATCCTTTCTTTCTTTGATTCGGTTGGGCATTTATATCTTTGTATTAAAGCATGACCATTTTGTTGCACTGCTCATCTTTTCCTTTTAGATTCTTGAATGTGTCCCTCATCTGACAGCTTTCTTTATTGTTTAATATGTGAGGCAGATGGACATTATGATGATTTTGAGAGAGATGAAGATGCAAAAGCATGCTTTCCATGCCCCTTCTGTTATTTGGAAATTGAGAATCATGCTTTCTGCAACCATTTGCAGGAAGAACACTGCTTTGACTTGAAAAATGCGGTATTTTCTTTTCCACCTCTGATGTTTTTATCTTGAGTACCGTGTTGATAATAATGTATTTTGTTAATGATTATCTGTGCGCACCAGTGATTGACTGGCATCATAATTAATTTGGCTTTTAAGTCATTAATAATAAATTGTCTTAACAATACGAGTTTTATTTCCCTCTCATTCCAATTGCTGGCAATGGTTAATTTGAAGTTAAATGTTCAAAGTACACTGATTAATATATAATGCATTATGGTTATGCAAATGCTGCTTACAACTAAAATTCTAATTTGATGATTATTTTAGGTTTGTCCTCTATGTGCTGCAAATCTTGGTAAAGATGTGATCAGCCATTTCATAGTGCAACATGCTAGTTCATTAAAGGTTGTTCCCCATTTTGGATCTTCATGTGGTAAATGTAGTTTGTAATGTGTTTGAGCATGTTTTTATGCTTTGAGCTAACCTAGAAATATCTTAATGTTTGGCAGCGAAGGAGAAAATCCCAAAAGTCTGGTGTCTGGCTTGGTAGTCCTGCTACACTTGGCAGGGAACTGAGCTCATTTATTGGGTCCTCAACTGGTGGTCGGGGTAATGCACATGAATCTGCACCTGATCCGTTGCTTTCACCTTTTCTCTGTAATGCTCCTGTTTCAGACACTAGGGATGTTCAACGAGATAAATGCTCTGCTGATGAAGCCACTGTTGCTTCTAATTTGAGAAGGTATTCCCATTGAACGGAACTTTACATGGTGTAATTACAACTTATATAACTGCTAACTTTTTAATTGAAGAAGATTCATTTTGAAGGGAACTCCATGTTCAAAATCTGACATTTTTTATGACCACATCTATGTTGCTGTCTAGAAGTCATCAGTGAGCTGAATAGGAAGATACTGTTGTGATTTAGCTCAGCCTTAAGCATAAGTTGCATAATCTTTATGCTTCCTCTTTTCCCTGCTTTAGAAACTTACGGAACATTATCTAGAGAATCATGCCTCTGGAACCTCAAATCTTCTATTCAATTTCCAAAGTTTTCAAGGGTATCATGCCTCACCATCATGCTTTACTTCTTGTCCTGGAATTCAGGAAGGGCAAGGTAATCTTCAGAGTGACTATGACCATGTTTCTTTGACCCATCAAAAAATATCCCAAAGTTGAGGTATATAAAATAATCAAGATAATCTTCATAGTATGTCAGACAATAGTCTGGTTAGATGTAGTGATCGAATGCCAATTTTATAACTTGAAGAAAATATCGTACAAATCATAGTTTCCAAGTATGAAAATGAAAATTTTGCTCTAGTTTATGTCCAAGTATTTTGAAGTAAAGAAATAGCAATCAACCCTCATGTTCTGAATAAGGATGTCTGAAAATTGTAAAAGAGCAATATCTACATGTATTTCGTTCTGTTTCCCTTTCAGTTTACTTCGATTCTGGTTTTATGGTTTTCTGATAATGAATCTCAGCGATTGCTTTCTTTTCTGTGCAGAATTGAACCACCTTTGCTGGACAAAGATCATGAACAGAACACAGAAGAGAGAAGGCAAAGAGCCGCATTTGTTCAACAGCTGGTCATGTCAACCATCTTCTAAGGTTAGTATCTAGTCCTTTGCATTACAAATGTTACGCAGGAGCAAGGTCTTTGTTGATCAGTTGCCGCCTGCCATGCAGCTCACCTGGGTATGTTAATCAACACTGGGTTTTTAGCACCGGTGATGGTTCTAGGAAGTCGGTCATTATAATAATAATCAGTATGATTTGGGGGTACAGGTGGTGACGTGTTCATCAAAAGGCAATTTATGTATTTTTGTATGATGTCTGCAGTTAAATATATTAGAATGTAGGCCATTTAAAGGCCACAGCTTATAAGGAGTGTAGTAACCAACTCTATTTAATTTTTAAAGCAGAGTTATGTCTTCTTGGTTTTTTTTCCTCGGTGGTTTCTTTTTCTCTATTTTCCAGCCTTCTTTTGCGGTCAAACAAAATTCTCCTACCATAAGCCACTTATTAGCACCTAAAACTACAAACTGGTTGGTAAACCTAAACCTAAGTTTCCAACGACCATAAGAGTAAATAATTACAAGGGAAAACCCAGTTTGAGTACAATTATGTTACTGTTGGATGATTCAAAACATTTGCAGCGTCTCAATGCTGTCAAGTCAGCGTAAAATCACTTAAAAATTATAATCTATCGGCTGAAGAGCAATCCTTTCTCCAAACAATCCACGGGAACATAATTGTTGGCTTGCAGAGACTCAAAACAGAACGTTCTGATTAAGAGATTAGTTGTAAAAGTGAATAATCAAGATGACAAATACGCCGACTCTGGCTAATGGGGTAAGGAAAAATTAGAAATTTTGCTGACAAATGGACTTGGTAGATATCGCTGTTTGACAAAAACTACTGCAGTTACCTAAATCGTAAGAAGAATTAAGACGGAGTCTGTAGAGCATAGAATCAAGGTGAGTGTCCATTTTAAAGGCACTAGAAACAACAGGAGCAACATAGTCAGTATGACATTCAAGTATTGATACAAATCAAATAGAAGTAACTTCAAATTGACTCCAATGGCATATGCAAATATTTCTTCAACAGTCCAGTAGCGAACTTAAAGGGACCAACTTAGGTGTGAGTGCCAAGGTCTCAAGTCTTGAATAGCGCTTCCCTTGATACTTGGCAACTCCTAGATGCCCTCACATGGCAAACTCACAGCATAACTTCTTTCACGTCTAAAATTAGAAGAAAAGCGTCAATCTCCTATCTCCCTCGATGAGAAAATCGACAGTGTACCTTATGGCACACCAATCAACAATCCCCTCCAACTTGTCCTATAAATCTAAACTCTCGAGCAGACATGATTATACTCCGGTGAGATGCTATTCGAGAATGTGGAGAGGGAAAAAAGAGGGACTCAGATGATGGACTGCTCATCTCTCTAAACATCTCTTAACATGCCACTCTGCTACACACTTTTCAGTCACCAAGTTTGCCAAGCTCGTAATCTACTGGTAGATGAAGCATACGGTATACCATATCAGTAAGTCTATGGCTTGTAACCAGTAGCTTGATAATAATAGCCCTTATTCCAAGGGTTCAAAGTCAGGCAAGAACTTGAGGCCAACAAACCTTTATTTAATCTCCATTGTACAACTACAAATTTCTTTTTGGTACTCAGCAGTAGACTAGCAAGTTAAAATTCTTCCTCATACATTACAAGTTGTGGTAATAAGCAAAAGTCTAAACTCTTAAGCAGTTAGGATTTTGGGAACATGAGCACAAAAACCTAAAACATAAAATTAAATCTCATAACCTTAGAGCCTCAATTTTGGTTACTCCAAAATTGTTATCAAATTGTGGTATAAACTTGTCTCAATCACCAATGGAGATATACCTTTTGAATCTTTTGATCAAGCTATTCAGCAACCAATATCTATAACACATCGAATACCATTACTAACCATAAAGGAAGCAGAAGACTTAGCTGGAGAAACACTAGATAAGATGGTTACCCAGAATCAAAAACAATTATAGTCACCACGAAAAGCCACAACAACTACTGTTTAAACCAAAACAACCATCAGAGTAGTTTGACAATGCTGTATTAATGTTTCATAGACATAGACAAAAAGAGCCTTGAAGGACGATGAATTCCTTGAGAGGATTGACCTGTGCTAACCACCTGAGGAACATCACGTTTTCTAAAGCAAGCAAAAGCTCTAAGAAATAGAAATAACGGCTAAAGCAACAGGGAAAAATAAGATCACATCAAATTAAGACATGAATATTACCCAACTAGAGACACGAGTCAGACGCAAAATAAGTACAAAACTGCAGAATATATAACATTGGGATCAAAGAGGTTCTAAAAATGGTCAAACTAATTGCTTAACATTGACACAGTTTTTGACATCACACAAAAAGCAAATAACATTTCGTGTAATGTCAAAAGTTTCCTAAAATCACTCAATGATAGACTGAATAACACCGGCTCCAACCGTCTTCCCTCCCTCTCTGATAGCAAACCTCATCCCTTGCTCACAAGCCACAGGCATAAGAAGCTCAACAACCATCTTTACACGGTCACCAGGCATAACCATCTTAGACTCCTCATCCTTATCATTCATAATCGAAGCCACCCTTCCAGTCACATCAGTGGTCCTCATGTAAAACTGAGGCCTATAACCTGCGAAAAAGGGAGAATGCCTACCACCCTCTTCCTTCTTCAACACATAAACAATCGCGTTGAACTTAGTATGCGGAGTGATAGTTCCTGGTTTAGCCAAAACCATCCCTCTTTGAATATCAGCCTTTTGAAGACCTCTAAGTAACAACCCAACATTATCACCAGCCATGGCGTCATCCAATGTCTTCTGAAACATTTCCACACCAGTAACTATGGTGTTTCTCGTTTCCTTCAATCCAACAATATCAACAGTCTCTCCAACCTTAACAGTACCTCTCTCAATACGACCAGTGGCAACAGTACCACGACCCGTGATGGAAAACACATCCTCAACAGCTAACAAGAAAGGCAAATCAGTTTGTCTTTGAGGAATGGGAATATAACTATCAACAGCATCCATAAGTTCATAAATCTTATCAACCCATTGGTTATCACCTCTCTTAACACTCGGATTAGCCATCAAAGCTTCTAAAGCTAAAAGTGCAGACCCAGATATTATAGGCACATCATCACCAGGAAATTCGTAACTCGAAAGCAATTCACGCACCTCCAATTCGACCAATTGCAAAAGCTCCTCATCATCAACCTGATCTTGTTTGTTCAAAAACACAACCATGTTTGGAACACCAACTTGTTTAGCTAACAAGATATGTTCTTTTGTCTGAGGCATGGGTCCATCAGCTCCGGAAACGACCAAGATGGCACCGTCCATTTGGGCAGCTCCGGTAATCATGTTTTTGACATAATCGGCGTGCCCCGGGCAGTCAACATGGGCGTAATGGCGGTTCTCCGTTTCGTATTCAACGGTGGCGGTGTTAATGGTGATACCACGGGCACGTTCTTCGGGGGCGGCGTCGATTTCGTCATACTTTTTAGGGGCGCTGTTACCCATGGAAGCTAAAGCCATGGTTAGAGCGGCGGTTAAGGTAGTTTTTCCGTGGTCGACATGCCCAATGGTGCCGATATTGAGGTGGGGTTTTTTGCGTTCGAATTTGCCACGGGCCGCTTTGACAGTAAGAGCTCCTCCACGGCGACGGATGACGGTAGTGGTGGCGATGGTGGTGAGGAAAGGGGGAAGGAAGGAAGAGGAGAGATGGGTAGTGGTTAGATTAGAGGGTTTTGTGGAGAAACTGGCGGTGGTGGTTGAGGAGTGAGTTGAGAGAGACGAGGCGTATGGGTACCTAAGCTTTGAAGAAGTGGCAGCCGCAGCTGCTGTTGATGAAATTGCCATGTCTTTCTACCGAGGAAAGGGGGGATTGAGGGGTTTTGGGCGGATAGATATGGAGAGAGTAGCGTTGTAGGGCAAGGTAAAGGATTTGTTTTGTTATCGTGGTTAGTTGGGAGGACCGGAGAAGGAATGGCTAATATGAGTTGTTCTAGCTATCCACTTCCTTCCTATGCTGCTCAGTTGGGGTAGTATTGAATTTTCCATGCTATCTAACTCTTATGCTGACACGTGTATGGAATGATGAACTAGTCATAGTAATATTGATAGGGTTTTAGTGTTACTGGCCATGGTGAAATAGTGTGAGTGTACGGGTATGTTATGAATTAGAGAATTTGAAATGCTGATTTAGTCATTGAATTCAGGCCAATTTCAATGCTAAAGTAATAGAGAAAAGACATGTCCAGTGAAAGTTGAAACAGAGAGAGGGGTCTCAATTCTCATTCTCTCATCAAGGGAGTCATAATAAAATTCACAAAAGATTGTCGAGTATTATTTGAGGTTCAGAACAAGAGGAGAGATGTTAAGGAATGGATCCTATGACTTTGTGGCTCCTCGATCGTATGTAGTAGTAACATGTAAAATGATTGCAGCGATCGCTGCAGCCAGTCAGCCGCTTGTCAGGCCACGTCTCTCGTTTAGGTTCTCATCTTTCCTTACAGATAGATATTAGTGGTCTACAAATGCCCCTTTGATTTTGTGTAATGGGTTCACAGGAGGGAGGGCATGTGTGGACGTTGTTCACAGTTGGAGGCCCAAAAAACTACGCCGAAACTTCGTTCCTCTTTGATGATTTTGTTATTTGTTGTGGTGAGTGATAAGCGAGTGAGTTTTCTTTCTTTTTATCTCTTGCCATCGGGTCTTTTTTGGACCTTGAAATGTCCACTTCTCTACCCAATCACATGAAAGGACACATTATCCTCTACAAATGTGCGTGTTCGTTCACGTGATTGTGTTAATTTAAACAAAATGAAAATTTTAAACTTCATTTAGAATATTAATTAATAGGATATTAATGAGTTATCGGATTATTACATTTCTATTAGATGGAATCCCAAAAAAAAAAAAAAAAAAACTTTCCTCATAATGTATAAGATAATAATATATCAACAATTTAATTAGTTTCTTATTTTCAAGCTTATTGTTGAGACAAAAAAAAATCAATCAATAAAATCTCCAAATCCATTCGACCTATCTAACAAAGTAATTGTTAACTTTAATTATTCACTTTTGATTTCAAAAGAAAAAAAAAAGTTAAAAGGTTGAAAATGAATTTTGGGGTCAACATCCTTTAAATTATAAACCAATCTAACACATTGCATAGTTAGCGTAAAAAATAAAACAGAGTTAATGATTAAAAGGAAATTATTAAATTAAAATAATTAAATAATTAAATTTACATGCATTATAATAAGAAATTAAATTTCAAATTTTAGTGTAATATAAGAATACCAAAAAACTTTTAAGTAATAAAGTTTGAATGAGTATGGATGTGGCTGGGCTGGGCTGGAATTAGTTGTAAAGCTCATGGCCCATGGGTGCACCACATAAGCTTGATTGTGTAATAGGCCGATTAGTAGAATTTAGAAGAAAGAGGGAGCGAGCGTAGCGTAACTGGAGAGGGGAGGTGAAGCTCAAACGAACATTCTCCTTCGTTTTCGTTTCTTGCTGAACTGAACAGCGAATATAAATATTTTCTCTGATAAGAAAAAGAAAAGGAAAGAAATAATGGCCCAGGACCAGGAGGCATAGAAGAGGTTTCATTCGATCATGGACAAGCTCTTCCACTGCCCTTCCTCCTCCAGGTTTTTTTTTTTTTTGCTCTCTTTTTATCACTAGTTGATGAAACTTGAAAATTCTATTATCATTATTGTTTCTACTATTTGCTTATTAATTAATATATATGTTTGTAATAAATTGTTAGTTCACTGGGAGGACAACCACAACTACTACGAGGCAAGAAACGGCCTAATCCACCGTCTGCTTTAGCAGTACAAGAGCCTCAACCTTGCTTAGTTGCGGCTGAAACGACCATGGAATAGAGGAGATTTTCTGAGGAGGTTATCAACTTGCAAATCCATGACTTGATTTCCTAAGCTTCAGGCAATGCTCCCTTTCTTATACACTAAACTCTTTTCTACGTTTATGGGTGTTAATTTAATAAAGATGATTATCTTTTCCACTGTTTTTAGGTAGTAAATGCTGTAAATTGTGCTAGGAGACGTTGGGTCAATGTGGATATGGATATTATAGCCTGTGAATCCTGCGGAGCACGTCTCCTTTTTTCCACTTCACCTTCTTGGACACAGCAGCAAGGCATGTCATGAATCTAATTTTACTTTACTTTAAGCAAATACTTTTGAAAAATCTGGTATTCTCAAGGCTAAATTAGATAAATATTTTCAATGCTCTTCAGTTGATATGGCAGCCTTGGTTTTTAGCTTAAAGCTGGATAGTGGACTCAAATTGCTTTGCCCTTGGATTGACAATGCCTGCGATGAAAGACTGGCTGAATTTCCTCCCACTATGTCTGCTGATTTAGTTGATAAATTCAGGGAAAGATCCAATTCACTCTTTCAACTTTTAACTCTTCCACTTATTCCATCTTTGGCCATTGAATTTATGAGAAGCCCTCAGCTTGAAGATTATCTCAGGCAACCCGTGATGGTAGATTCTCAGAAAGGGAATGCTGAATTTTCTCAATTAGAAACTATTGAAGGTGGATCCGATTTGGATTCTGCTAACTTGTATTATCAGGTATGAGTATGACATTTGTTTCTCATTTTGGTTTGCAAATTGCAATTATAGGTACATTTTGCTGAAAATTTTTGCCTGTTTCAGTTGCATAATACAGATGTAAATGTGAACATGCTTGTGTTGCTTTCTGAAACTTTGTTGTTCTGCTTTTTCATAGCATTCCACCTTTTGCTTTCCGCAAAAAAAAGCCCAATGGTTTCTCCAATTTGTGACTCTGCAAGTTTATCGTGTCCTGCATTTCTTGATTACGGTGTTCTGCTTTCCTGAGTTTTTATTGGTGTTGAAGACGGATTGTTTTAAAAATATTGCAGGCTCAAAAGCTTATAAATCTTTGTGGATGGGAAGCACGTTCATTACCTTATGTAGTTGACTGTAAGGATGGGCTGAATCAATTTGTCAAAGATGCTGATTTTTTAAATTCATCCCATGGAGTTGATTATAGACGAAATTTGAGTCTCAGCTCCCATGCTATTAATGAAAATGAAAATTTAGAAGCAAATGAAGAGTTTTTGAATTCGTGTAGATTGCAGTATGATCCTAAGTCTGTTGTTTTATTAGTGGGGCTAGTGTTGGATTATGGGCTTTCTCCACTCTGCGACGGTCTGTAGAGCTCTTCAGATTAGTTGGATATGCCGAAGTCAATCCTGGAGTCCGTGATTCAGGCTATGAAAGCAATGTTCATGATAGGGTTGTTGCTGTTGCTTCAAATGGTGAGTCATCATCTATGGAACAATCTTCAAATTTAAAATTGACGATAGCAGGGGATCCACCACCTACTCGACAAAACTTTAAAGCAACAATATCTTTGTCTGTTATTGGCCAGGGTTTAAGGGCTAGGCTTTCTTATCATCCAGAGTTTAAAGATCAGATGCATGATAATCGAGAAGATATTCAAGTGGAATTTGATTGCAATAGGATTCAGGGAGAAATAGATTGTTTCAACAATGGTGTTAGTGGGCAAGTTGTTCTGTTGGAGGACATGAGAACTTTAAATTGCATAAATGCTGATCAAGTGAATTGTAGTTCTACAAGCAACGATCAATCTCCTTGTTCAAACCATGATGTTAGTGCAAGAGATGATATTTTTAGGAACCTCGTGCCATTGGAAGGAACCAGCTTCACTGCAGAAGAAATTTCACCTCATACTGGTACTTACTGATTTGTAATTTATGGCTGGTTTAAGTGTTTGTGGCATTTGCAATTTTCAAGTACCTGTCTTTCTTTTAGTCCATAAGATCGTCATTTAATCACAAGGATGATTTTATCAACCATGCTACATTTATTTTCCAGGAAGGGATCTAAATCAAGTGCACATGGATAAAATATCTGACTTTGATCCGATCAGGCAGCACAGACATTTTTGTCGTTGGATTGCATCAACGGGTAGCAGAGCACCTGGATGGCAACAAACTTTATTTGCTGTGCTACATGGGAAAGATTTTCCCCATTCTTCATCTACATGTTCTTCTTCATCTGCCTCCTTGATTAAGGTAAGTTGAAAATTTTCTTATATTCAAGCAATCGAGGAGTTATGCTATTTTTTGTGCTAAAATTGAAGTATTTGATATGAATATGGTATGTCTGACGTTAGGTTTTTATTTTTTTTTATTATTATTATTATATTTTTTAAAAAAATTGATTTATCCTGCTCATCACTACTTATTAATCTGTTGATAAAAAATTTTAGCTTTTGAGCCAGATAAATCAGTTCGTTACAGGAAGTGTTGCTTATGCATGGTGATTAACAAATTCTGTTTTTTTTTTTTTGGGAAATGGGGGCTGTTTGACAAATCCAGATATGTGTCTGCATTTAAGAATAAATTTATTGGGTAGGATTTATATCCTTTGCCTTATCATATCGAGTGGATTATAATGTTCCAAGATTTTATTCTTCAGGTTGATGATCCCATTGCTTCAGTTAGAAAGCTTTTCATGTCTCCTACAGCCAAAAAAAATGAAGACCACCCGTTAATCAAGCCAGAGTAGTGTTTGTTACCTTCTAGTGTTATTGTGGTGTATATGTCAAGGGTCAAGACTTAAGATCTAAACTTGCGCGGCTCCGGGACCCGGGCATTCACCCTTCCGGCGTCCCAGATCAGTCTACCTGCCACGATTCACACCCTTGTGAGGTATTGTCTGCTCTGACCCCCCTGACCTCACGGTTTTGTCCTACAAAAGACGTCTTAAAAGGCAGAGGTGGTGTGAATCCCAATAACCCTTCTATTATGTTTGATGTGAGATTCAGAACTCTTCTTAAGTCCGTGACATATATATATGCCTGTCCAAAGATATTGAGGATTGAATGCTGAGAGCAAAGCTCAACTTTCATTTACAGCATGAGTTTATCAAATTTTGGGCAACTGGCATATTAATGTTTCAATTCAATGATGTTTATGAGAAATAGAATTATAGAAATATATACATACATCATTTTTATCTCATACAACTGGTTACTCCTTCATTCAAAATTGAAACAATACGAGAATGCTTTTGCTTGCAAATGGGGTTTGGCCACAGTTTGTGATTACCACCTTTGAGTAGGGGCAGAGCAGTGATGATATTTAACTATGTGATGTATGTTCTAAAAAATTAAATATTACTTTGAACAAATAAGAAAGCGAAAACATCTTTCTTTTTTTATAAACGAAGTCAAACCCTTACTCAAGCACCAGGTTGCAAGATCAAGTTCCTGCAAGAGTTACTTGATGTCGAGTCTGAGGACCATTCGAAAGAAATTTCTAGAAAGCCTCAGAATGGTGGTGCAGGCATTGGACATGTGAAGGCTCTAGATAAACCTGGATCCAAGCTAAGGGTGCAGGCATCTAACCCTCTAAAAGAGCCACATACGCAAATGGATAAAAACACTGTAGTGCCCAAACAAGAAGCTTTTAGAAGGCCTTGGGTGTGGCACATTACAAGGAGGCCTGAAATTTTTTGAACCTGATGCACTACAAAGTGTTTAGAATCAACTCCTTCTAGAAACTCTCTAACCAACTTTATATGTCTCGGGGGGCCTTGGAATCTACTAAAATGCATATAAAACCCACACACTTGGCTCTTCACCGATCACATAAGCAAGAGGCTCAAATATAAATAGGGGTACTCTCTCCCCATAGGATCAACATATAAGAGCTACTGACCTTGTAAGCGAACAAAGCTACTCAAAGCAATATTGGATATAAGCCACGTTTTTTAAGGTTCGTGTCACTATATCGTTTCTCGTAACCGAGGTCTAGGGATAAAGGGACAGTAATAGGTTTTAGTCACTAGGGTTTACGCACTCTAAAACCCCATTCGAAATTTTCATATCTTTTTTATATTCTTTCAGGACAAAAAAAAAGAGAAAGAATGGCGAGTTCAATGGCAATTTTATCAAGAAGGTTTTATCGATCTCTTCTCTCCAACCCTAAAATCCCTCAACTTTCAGTGTCCTTTTGCACCACCACTACCACCACCCTTTCCTCCGCTGCTGAGAGTCCCGACTCCGATATTGACTCAATTCCCGACTCACTTCCATCGGAACCCTCAACGCCGTCAGAATCTGCCAAGGACTCTAACACTCAGAAACGCCTATACGATCGTCAGCTTGAGAATGGCCTTGATATGGGCATTTATAAGGTCCATTCTGTTTCACCCTAATGTTTTTGCATCTTTTCTTTTTTAAATTCTTGAAAAGGGGATTTTCATGCAATAGCAAAATTAAAAGACGGATAAAAAAAAAGACAAAAATATCCTATGGGTTTCTGGAATTTTGGATGAGTATCCAAACAGAATGCCATTTTGGGTTTGAATTGGCTTTTGTTAGGGGTAAAAATATTTAGTTTTGGAGCTTTGTTCCGAAAGTTAACTCAAAGTGGTTCTTGGGGCATTGGTTGGTTTTTCTGTTTCTAGGCTATATTGGTTGGACAGGTAGGGCAGACCCCGGTGCAGAAAAAACTGAAGAACGGGATGTCCCTTACAATGTTTTCAGTGGGGACAGGTGGGATTCGCAACAACAGGAGGCCTTACGAGAATGAGGAACCCGTGGAGTATGCTAATCGCAGCGCTATTCAGTGGCATCGAGTCTGTGTTTACCAAAAGATGTTAGGAGATCTTGTCTTGAAGCATGCTGTACCTGGGTGAGGTTTTATTCTAAGCACCTTTAATTGTACTTGATACGCAGAAATACTTCCTTTGGTTTTAGGTGATGTCCATTTTCGTCTCCTTTGAACTTCATTCGATACTGCCATTTTTAGCATTGACCCTGCAAAAGTTATCATAGGGGTCAATGAATGAGATTGCCTTGATGTAGAAACGCAAGCATGTTGTAAAAGATTAAGGGTGAATGCTCTGACATGACTAAACATTAAAGTTATTGGGTTTTTTTATCAAGGATGCTCTCATAAAATTCTATCTACATCTAGAATTTGGTGGTCACTTTGTAGAAACTGTTGCAGGATAAGCCATCTGTAATGGATGTGGAATGTATGAGAAGGGTGAGTGCAAGAATGAGTATTAGGTTAACATTGTAGATAATAAAAACTTGAAGGTTCATGGTACTCAGATTTTAAGAATGCGACCTTTATTGCACCATAGTAATCTGGTTTTGACCATGGTCTTATCCCTATTGACTGCAACCTCTTGTCATAATTATATCAGCTGTTGATTGTATTCACTTTTGATCTGGGTTGTAATATTCTTCTTTCTTTTCTATTTTTTGGCTGATATAGTACAATTTTATATTTGGAGGGAAATCTGGAGATGAAAATCTTCACTGATCCAATCACTGGTCTGGTTCGACGCATGAGAGAGATTTCCATTCGTCAAAATGGTACATACATTACTTTCTTTGATTCTATATTTTAAAATGCTCAATGAAGGAGAGAAAATTATCTGTACTAACTAATTGCCTGTTTTAATAATTTACTTGTTCTATTGACAAAAAAAAAACATTATACTTGTTCTCTCAATAATTTTTTCTTCTTGGACATTTTAGTGCTTTAATATGGATTATTATATGAGTGATGAGAATGTGTCTCTGATTAATGTCACACGTTTTATTATCTACTTCAAAATCCAAACACTTAAATGTGTCAATATGATCAAATGGGTGAGTGGTTTTGATGATTAAACATTAATATTTCATTTACTATCTTGGGATGGATGTTGAACCCATGAATGCTTTTTGACTTATGTTCTGTTTTTTGGCATGTTAAGTTTACTTATATTACTTTCCTTGAAAAAAATTTTCTAGATAGGCATCCAGAAAAATCTTGAGTAGCCTTGCGGGTTATTCAATTTGAACCTCTAGTAAAAGATAGTCTATATTCTACATTATGATTATAATATCCGTGTTATCTTGCTTGAATTTTTTTTTTTTTGCTGATAGTTAAATACTTGTATTTCAAGAATGGTGCCTGTCCCAGGCATATATGAATCTGACCTTAGGTTATCTTGTGGCTTATTGGTGTAATCCTTCTTTCTCTGTTTTCTTGTTATTCCTTTTTTCTGCTCTTGTTTTACTATTTCATGGATGGAGTGATAGGAGATTTACTGTGGTATTTTGGTGAAGGCAAGTTGACAAATAACTTGGGAATTTTGTACCATAATGAGTTTCTCCTTAACTTTTATTGCAATGTTTTATGTGAATTTTGCAGGTCGGATTGTGTTTTTGGGATATGTGGATGATGCCTAACAACCAAGTTCTGGAGAAATGAAAGGTGCTGGCTTTTACTAGAAAGCATTGGTTTTAGTTAAAGAATTGAATTTGTTTCAAATGGAACCAATTTTGGTATTTGTAATTGTATTATGCATAAGATAGTTGATGGATGAAGAAGTTTGAGGCTTTGCATCAACTGGTATGAGACTTGAAAGTTGTTTAAATTGCATGTAATTTTTAAACTACTTATCTTTTTTTTTAATAACTAATATCCGGCTGGGTCAGTGCTGTAGGCGCCCTAGCAAGTAAACGAAGAACATTGGTATTGCTTTTTGTTACGAATTTTATAGTTACCATTTAAACTTGGAAGTAGTTGTGAAGCAAGCTTGCATTTTGGAAAGATGTAAGAAATGTAGAAGTTGGAACTTGGAAGTAGAAGAAAATGAATCATCGTTTATTCAAAGTAAATTAGAGCTTGGGTAAGACAAAAGCTAGTTGGGCTTAAGAAGCAAAAAGAATATAAAGCGTGGGGGTTGGAGAACATTGGAGGCCCAGCTCAGCCCGTGTAACACTTAGTGCCCTTTTTTTTTATTCCACTTCCCGAGTTGTACGACCACGACTAGCATCTCTCTTTTTATTTTTTTCTTCTTTGCTGCAAAAAAAAAAAAAATGTTCCAAGTTGCAAAGTTTATTCTGAAGGTTGAATAATAATAATAATAATAATAATTTTGGCAGCATTTTTATTGTAACCTGGTCTTTGGCAGCATAGCAATTGTGGGGCTGAGATTGTAATGGAAATGACACGATTTTAATTCTTGCTCTCTTTTATTTTTTTGGGAATAATAATTTTGTCTAAATCTGTGTGTCTTATCTTGTTTTAGTGGATTTTGAATAATACCCTTTCTCAATGCTCTAATAGGATTTGCAAGTTTTGTCTTCGGTTTCTGTGCAGAGTACGCCAGCCATACGTGATGATCCAGCTATCATTCAGGCATGAAATTTAAACAAAAAAGTTTTGCAAGTTTGGTTCTCGGACTTGCCATTCGAAACTATTCAAATTTCTTATTCAGAGTTCGGTGTCCCCTCCCCCCCTTTTGCCCACTACCACGACTATTCTTTCTCTAAAATTGGTTGCCCTTAAACAGAAGCAACTAAATCCAAACACAGTTTCACCGGAAACAATGCCAAACTAATTAGCCTTTTTCATACTGATTTTTGGCTTTTTGCAATGTCTTTTTTTTTTTTTTTTGGCTTTCACTTTCCATTTGGCCTATGTTTCACTTCCCTTTTATGGTTTTCGATTCCAATTTCGGTTTCAATCAACAGTCAACCTTACCTTGCTCGTCGCGAGTAATATGCTTGGTATAGGTTACCGCTACCAAACCTATCAAATCACTATGTGATTAATTAATTTATAGACTGCATTTCGAAGTCAAAATTAGATGTAGACAATCAGCCTCCTACTCCACATCATAGCAATGGCAGTAACACTAATACCGCAATTAAAGCAGGGAAAAGAGGTCTTTTTTTCTTTTGGCCACAGGGAAAAGAGGTCTAGAAAATTTGCTAACATTGATTGCTAGTAAAGCTTACTTTGAATTTGTAAAAAAATAAAAAATAAAAATCATGTGCCACATGGATTGAAATCACAAGTCCTTGATATTAGTAAGACTCCGCTAACCAGTGATATAAATAATAATTTATAATTTATATTATATAAAAATTTAAAATTTATTTATTCATATTATATTTTATACAATATATTATAATTTATATCGATATAAAAATATAAAATATATATTTTTAATTTTATTAAAATTTTAATTTATATATTTTATATTTATATTATATTCATATTATATCAATATATTATATTTTAAATTACCGTATCTCTAATCACATTTGACATATCCTTTCCTAAATTCGGTAGAAGAAAACCCACCCACCCCCTCATTTCCGTTTTTTAAATTCCCAAAGCCAAAACAATAGTGTACGGTATTTATTTAACCCATGTCGGCAGTTCTAGGTCGAGGACCTTCCGGTATTTAATGCAATTTTATTGATAAAGATACTTCGCATTTGATTACACACGTTACACCCGTGTCAAAGTTTATCAATCCCTCTATAAAATAAACAAACCTGTCAGTCTTTTATTGTCCAAGATGATCTTTCTCTCAAGTTTTTTAAGGTTTTAGCTCTCCTAGAAGAATGGCAAGAACCTCACTTGTTTTCCTCTTGCTTTCCCTTTTGTACATTGCTTGTCAGGCCAGATCTCCAACCGCTGCAAGCTCTCGTGCCTCAAATTTCATCAAGGCTTCATGTAGTGCCACCAAATATCCAGCAATTTGCGTCCAATCTCTCAAAGCATTTGCCCCTTCAATCCAGCAGAGCCCCCGCCAATTGGCTCAGACTGCCCTGTCCGTGAGCCTAGACAGGGCTAAGTCCACCCAGGCATTCGTGTCCAAAATGATAAAATTCAAGGGACTTAAGAAGAGGGAATACGAAGCAATCAAAGATTGCATGGAGGAGATGAGTGATAGTGTGGACAGGCTCAGCAAATCAGTACAAGAGCTGAAGCACGTGGGTGAAGCCAAGGGTCAAGACTTCTTGTGGCACGTTAGCAATGTGGAGACCTGGGTTAGTGCTGCACTAACCGATGAGAACACTTGCGTAGATGGGTTCGCAGGGCGGGCCTTGGATGGTAAGGTAAAGGCCTCGATCAGAGCTCGTGTCGTCAATGTTGCTCAAGTCACCAGCAATGCTTTGTCATTGGTTAACCAATTTGCCTCAAAGCAGTAATAAGCGATCAACCAAATGTTGGTTGCTCTTGCAGAGAAGTTTTTTCTTTTTTTTTTTTTTTAGTGGAATATGGACGGGGATTTTAACTTTAAAGATAGCTTTTGGTCAGTTTTGCCATATGGTTTGGTTTTGAATCTCTCTTTTTTTTAATGCAAGTATATGAATATGAATGAAAGTTTTTCTTACAAAGTGGAATGCAAAGTAATTGTGTTCTCATTACTTTTTTTTTTGTCATCGAATTATTCTGATTACTTATAATGAATGGCGCTTAGACTTTGAGCTACTTTCTCTTTTTGTTTTCTTTTGGTAAATACGAGATGGAAAGACCCATGAATTAAGGAATTTTTTATTTTATTTTCGGGCCAATCACCGTGACTTGCGGGCAGTTTGAATAACTAATAGTTTTGTATTAAAATAAAGAGGCATTGGTTTTAGCCCAAAAACAAAAGCCCCACTATATATAATTTTAAATTTTTCTCCTTTTTTTTTTTGTGAACTAATTTTAAAATTTTCTTTATTCTAGATTACTGCATGTTTTTAGAACATTTTCCTTTCATTTAGCTCCATACTTCATTCCTGCCAATAAATAAGTAGACAGTTTTAGATTTGTTGGAAAAAATGACGGCCATGAAAGCCTTGTAAGAGTTAATCACAACTCTCATGGATGACAAAGAGATGCTGATGAAGAATTAAAATTGTTATGGATTTTATCATGGAGCTTTGTTGGTGGATCACGCCCTTTGATTTTTCTCTTAAAGCAAATGAATATAAATATAATTAAATCATAAAAAAAAATATTAGACATACTTTATATTATCGTAGAGACTCATTTAATTTGTAAAATATTATTAATTTTGATTTGAATGTCTTACAATTTTATCTTACAAAATATACTTCATAAATTTAAAATTAAATCTCAACTTTCATATCATATTATATTCACACATTCTTTTAATATAAAATTAAAAATGTTACAATTATTATATACTCTTGATTAAAATATAAAAAAAAAAAAAGAAAAAGATAAATGGCAGGCACCTCCTCAAGTGAGGGAAATAGATATATAGGATAAAATTATTTAGATAAATACTAACATTTAGCATTATTAATTAGCATATTCTGAAGGATTAATTTCTTTACTAGGAAGATATATATTTACTATTGATTGGCCTAATTAGGAGCAAATTCTACATTTTTAATTAATAATAACACAATAAGAACTAGTGCTAAATTTGTGAGTTTAGGAGAAATAAATCTGAGTATACTATGAGGAAAAATCAACCAATTTGCCAAATTTCTGTAGGTAGATTGTTAAAGCGCTTTTGGTTCTTACGTTTTTCCTTGTTAATGCAAGCAAGCAATTCAGAGAAGGACGGCAAGCAATTTCAATTCGTCACACAAAGCATTGGATGCTCCAAATTCAGGACCACCACCACTGACTCACATTCTTTTATTATTACTCCACCTTTTAAAAAATGTACAGTATAGACAACTTGATGCTTCTTTGCTCCAACTTTTCGGTGAAAATAACTTAAATGAAAGCATCCGAAATTATTGATACCATAAAATTAAAATGGATAGGAAAGAGGATCAATTCTTTTGTCAAATTAGCAATCCTAAAATATTTATGGTTAATCTTTATTGAGAGATGAAAAGAAATTTATACCAGTTTAGTACTATATATAAAGCATGTTTGACTAAAATTGATGGTGATTGTGGTTGGGTGTGAAAGGCGAGTGGATGGTAAAGAACTGTGGGGGTGGCTGGCGAATGGGGTCACTCTCTGACGCTGGCCATGTGAGTTATTGAGCTAAATTTTCCAAACCAACGGAAAAAAGTAAAGTTGAGTTTCTTTTTGCTGTGTTTTGCATTTGCTTTCCATCTGGCCAAAGTCCAATGAGAGAGATGGGCGGCCATCATGGAAATTTGACAATCACGAGCGACGACCAAAATCCAAGTAATTAAGAATTAAACAATGCCTACAAATACAATATTAGTATAGTGTACATCACTAAGTTACGCATCGAAATAGCTTTTTATGATGAGATATGTATGGTTTCTTGTTGAAACGTACCTCTCCACAACCACTAATAAATATCCGACGACAAAAATTCATCCAAAATCCTATATATAAGTATAATTCAATATTTAAATATAAATCCTCTCTCTTTTCATAAGTATATTATTCATTCATTATTAAATTTTGTTTAAAAATTAATCAAAATTTAATATCCCATGACAAAAATTCAATCAATTAATGATAAAATTAAATATTTAATTATATAATACTCCTATAATAATAGCTATTAAGTTTTAGTATTTATCCCTGCGGTTGGTTTCTAGATCTTAAATAGAATCTAAATAAATTATTTTAAGAAATTCTTGAATAAAATATTTAAATGTCTGCCGCATTCTCATTAATTAGTATAATTCTGCCCATAAAAGATGCAGGTCCCATGCATCTTCTTGGGTTCACCTTTCGCATACAAACAATTTCATTAAAAATACAAAGAATAACATATTTATATACGGAATGGGTATTTATTTATAATTTAAATAAAACCATGGAATAAGTAGATAAAAAATAACAGTAACTAAATAAAAAATGCTTAATTTAAAAATTCTTGAATCAAATATTTTTTTTAAAAAAATTATCCATTAAGTTAAATAAAGATATATTGAATGTGACAATACCGAAAATTATATACTCCTATGTATATATCTATATTAAATGTGAGGCAAAGAGCGGAATGTATGCTAAAAGAGAACGCTAAAGTTGGATTGGCCAAGAAGTAAAATATATAAAATAACTATAAGAGCATATGCAATATTACTACAAAATGTATTATTTTAATTGCAAAACTCACGTATCGCTATGGAGTTTTTAAATAAGATATAAAGGTTTTGGTTTACAACTAAAATTTCTTTCCCTTTCTTTATATGGATTATATTCATCTTGTCATAACGTCTAGATCCGGGGATCTATCGCTAGACATTGACTTTAGGGAGTCGCCACCAATCTTTTTTGTCTAGGTGCGATTGGCCACCTAATGAATCTGTCCTTTTAGGGAACACCTAAGTTTAAGGGTCCCTAGAAGAATAGGTTCAGGTCTACAAACCAGAACAGGGTTCGGGAGTTCGGTTACGTGTGAGGAAGGTTATAGCACCCTCACAACACCCATCAAAAGATGGTACCAGCTTAAATTTGTGTTATCCAAAAGCCTTAAAATTTTACTAAGTAATTAATTATTGAAAATTTTTCTCAATTGACTCTAATACTTTTAGCAGAAAATTGAGAAAATTTTCTCACCTCAAGAGTATGCAAGAAAAACTACTGTTTCACTTGCAGAGGCTCCGTCGTCGGATTATTTAAAAGAAAAAAACAAAATCAAAATTAAGATAGAAAGGAAGGAAAGAATGATTTTTTTTTTGTAGGGAAAATTGATACTTTCAACTTTTCCCCAAAAATATTTTTTGGAAATTTTGATTTTCAAGGAAAATTGATACTTTCAACTTTTCCTCAAAAACCCTTTTTTTTGAAAATTTATTTCTAAGGAAAATTGATACTTTCAACTTTTCCCCAAAAATATTTTTTTTGGAAATTTATTTTTCTTTTAAGGAAAATTGATACTTTCAACTTTTCCCTAAAAATTTTTTTTTTTGAAATTTTTTATTTTTATTTAAAGAAAATAAAATAATAAAAAATAAATAAAAAGAATATTACATAAACCTAATCTAATAAATAAAAAATAAAATAAACAAATAAAGAAAGAAAGAAAGAAAAAAAAAAACCTGGAGCGGCTCGGATCGCGGCTCGGCTCGGCTCGGCTCAAGGAAGAGAAACGGCTCGGAGGGAGCGGCTTGGCGGCTTGGCTCGGCTCGGCTCGGAGGGGGGCTGGCACGCGCGGGTCAGAAAGCGGGTCGACACCCGGGTCGGGTCGGGTTCGGCAAAACGTGCGGATCCTCTGGGTTACTTAAGGCCGAAACGACGTCGTTTTGGGAGGGTATAAAAGGCAATCCTCTTCGTTTTTTCGGCAGAACGCTCCTTCCTCTCTCTCTCTTCTTCCCTTTTTCTCTCTCTTCTCTCTAAAAACCGAAGAACACCGGTGCCGAATTCTGGAGAATGTCGTCGAAATCTGGAAATTTCGCCAGAAGTTGGCCGGAAGATCGTCGGTTTTTGGGATTCTTCGCCGGAAACTGGACTGGTCATCGAAAACTTCAATGTTCGCCGGAATTGTTGCCGAAAAATTCAAACTTCGCCGGAATTTTCGCCGGAATCTGGAAATTTCCCAGAAATTTTCAGAAAAATTTTTCGTCAAAGATCTCTAAAAATTTTTTCTCACTCCCAGATCACTCCTAAACTTTTCCTAGCTTCCTATACGCCTCCTTTTTTCTCAAATCAGTAGCTTTGCTTACTGTTTTCTGTGTTTTGCATTCTGTTCCAGAGTCCCTTTTATAGGGATTGATCAGGAGTTCCTGATCAATCCCAATTCCTCCTTGGACGGGAATTCAATCTTTGAATCCCACTGGACTCTTCTGATTGAATTCCCATTTTCAATGGGATTCTTCCACTTTCAATCCTAGCCCTCCAAAAATCAAATAAAAAAAATACTAGATAATTAGAAAAGATAAATAAAAAAAATATTATGGGATAAATAAAAAGAATAATATCAGATATATAAAAATACGAAAATAAATAAAATAAAAGATAAAAATACAAAAAATATATATTAGTAATAATAAGTAAATAATAAATATATAGGATATACATAAAATAAAAAATAAAATAATAATAACCAAGATACAATTGGACTTACCCCTTTGGGCCAGGCCCAATTGATCCGGGCCTGGACCAAATTAGGTGTCTACAGCTGCCCCTCTTTGCACATTTTTTGTGAAACAAAAATTGCGCAAAGACGTAGACACCCAATCAAGACTCAACTCAACATTTTCATTTTTTTTTTTGTTTTTTTTTGTGTTTTTTTTTTTTTTACCAAAGCTCATTTAAACAGAGACTCAACGACTCTGAAAAACATGAATAAAGCTCCTCTAAATAGAGGCA